GGCTCCTGAACGAGAGTTCCCACAAGAACGACTCACGGGCAGAGGCCACAGCTGGTCCCATCGCACTCTGGACTAAGGATGAGGTTAGGTGTGCACTTGGGAGGATGAAGGTTGGAAAGGCGGTTGGCCCAGATGGGGTGCCAATCGAGGCATGGAAGGCGCTCGGAGAGTACGGCATAAGGTGGCTCACCAGCTTCCTGAACAAGGTAACAGTGGAAGGAAAGATGCCGGATGCATGGAGGACAAGTACCATCGTCCCCATCTTCAAGCAGAAGGGCGACGCGATGGACTGCTCCAACTACCGCGGGATCAAGTTGACTGCTCATACAATGAAGCTGTACGAGCGACTGGTCGACTCGAAACTGCGGGAGCTGGTCCCGATCTCCCAGGAACAGTTCGGGTTCATGCCCGAAAGGTCTACAACGGATGCCATCTTCATCGCAAGGCAAGTGATGGAGAAGTATCGAGAAAAACGCCGACCCTGCTACCTAGCCTTCCTCGACCTGGAGAAGGCGTTCGACCGGCTACCGCGAGCAGTGCTATGGAGGTCGCTCAGGGAACGAAACGTGCCAGAACACCTGATCTCTGGTGAAGGACATGTACGAAGGAGCCAAAGCAGCCATACGCACCCCTCACGGCCTAACAAAGGAGATAAACATCACGGTTGGGGTGCATCAAGGGTCAGCTCTGAGCCCCTTCCTGTTCCTCCTAACGCTCGATACCATGGTGAAGGGCCTCATGGAAGGACCACTGAAGACCATCCTCTACGCTGACGACATCGCCCTGATAGCGGATAGTAGAGAGGAACTACAGGCCAAGGTGCAGCAATGGCAGAAGGTCCTGGCAGAAGGCGGGCTACGGCTGAATGTCAAGAAGACCAAGTTCCTGAGCTCCGAAGAGGGTGCAGAGCCGATCGTAGACGGCCATGGTGAGACCATCGAAAGAGTGGAGGACTTCCGCTACCTTGGGAGCGATCTGGCAGCTGATGGCAGTGTGGATCAGGCGGTGAAGGCTCGGGTCAACACAGCATGGATGAAATGGAGGGAGTCCACTGGAATCCTCTGTGATCGAAGATGCTCCAGAACGCTCAAAGGGAAGGTGTACCGAACAGTAGTCAGGCCTGCGATGCTATACGGCAGCGAGTGCTGGCCCCTGAACAAGAACCACGAAAGGCAGCTTCACTCCGCTGAGATGAGGATGCTGAGGTGGGCCTGCGGCTGGACGCGCTGGACAGGGTTAGAAACGAGGATGTCAGAGCGGTCATGCAGACTGCCCCTGTCCAGCTGAAGGTACGGGAACAGCGTCTGCGATGGTATGGGCATGTGCTAAGGAGGCCACAGGATCATCCGATAAGAACAGCGATGGACTTCGAAGTACAAGGCAAGCGACCGCGAGGAGCCCCAAAGAAGAGGTGGAGAGACGTGATCAAGAAGGATCTAAGTGAAGTCATGGCCACAGCAGAGGACGCCCTGGACAGACTAAAGTGGCGACGACTGACAAAGACAGCGGACCCTGGCGATGCGGGAACTACCGCTTAGGGAAGAAGAAAGACGATGAGCATTGTCCAGTTTTTCTCAACAGTGAACTTATAGCCAGCGCTTCTATTTAGTTTATTTAGCGGCCTATCCACCCATGCCTTTCAACCCTGCCGCTAGATATTTGAACCAAGTAGCTAAGCATAGTGTTCCTCTCTAGAAGTATCATAACCAGGCCAATGTCGATTTTCGATCGCTTAATCCGTCACCCTTATTGTCACATCTCTCCACGCAACTCTGTCAACACACTTTGGTCTCGAACTTCAGTAGGGTTGCTGAGGCATTTGATCGGGTAGTCATAAATTGTTTCGACTCTTTCAGGCTCTGAAGAAGGCGATCCCGCCGAAACGTCAGCCCAATAAAAGTTATTTGCCAACCTCGTGAGGAGCTTTGACAAAGTATAAACAAGCACATCATGTCCGAGGTTCATTCAAAGCCGTACGTGGAGGCTCCCAACCAACTTCAATGGAAATAACTTCCTATCTTCACTCATTATTGCTTATTCTGCAACTGAAATTTTAAATTGGCTTTATAATTTTGAGAACAAACTTGGGAAAATTGTTTCTTTCTCGAACACAATTGTGATTCGCGGAAGAAGTCGATATCGAAAAAATTCTACCTCTGCTAGCTTTAACTACCCTGGCGATTTTTTTTTTTCTACACAATTATATGGAAATGCTCGAAGGCCGCAAGCTAGGTATCGTACTTGATTGGACTCTTTTGATAAGATTAGCCCTCCATTCAGAACATTGAATAAATTTCAACAACCTGCGTAGTGAATGAGTAGCCAGCTGATCACAAGCCAGCTGGTTGTTCAATAGACATTTTCGGAGGGGAGTTTTTGGAGGTTCGACATGACCGCTAAGACTTGAAATGAAGCCTATGGACGCAACTCAGGAGCAAATTGCTAAGGTGGTTTCCTACAGGTTGGACCAAAGATACTTCAGAACTAGTTACTTAAGGAAAATCAGACTTTACGGTTGTACAAGATTCCCTGATTCACAGCGTGCGTCTATGGGAAATATAATCCAAGGAATCCTCCACGGAAAAAGCTCCGCCCTCACTACCACAGAAAACGATACCCTAAAAGAATCTTCCACGTAAAGAGTGATCATTTTGTCCTTGTGGTAGGATCCTACTATATATAATCGGCTAAGCGGTTGTGTGTGTGTGTCTGTGTGTGTATGTGTTTGTCTGTCTGACCGGAAATTCATAGCTCGGGCACCAGTGGTCGTCAGGAGTTGGTTTCAAGATATGATATAGGGGGTGGGACGGGAACATATTTGGTGGGGTAAAGAAAGTGATCACAACTGATAAGGGCTGATAAAAGGCGCTAGAACGCAAGTGTCGCGAAATTCATAGCTCGGGCACCAGTGGTCGTCAGGAGTTGGTTTCAAGATATGATATAGGGGGTGGGACGGGAACATATTTGGTGGGGGTCACAAAGTGATAACGACTGATATGAGCAGATAAGAGGCGCTGAAACACAATTTTCACAAAATTCATAGTGCGCTTCGCAGCAGTCGTCAGGAACTGATTTTGGGACATGATATGGGGGTTGGACGGTAACATATTTTGTGGGGGTCAAAAAGTGATAACGACAGATGAGGACTGATAATTACGATATGCGTACGAACGTAGAGATTACTCGAAACCAGATTGCAGATAATGCATTTCATTTCAATATCATTTCATTAGCGTTATAATTGTAAATTCAAACACCTTTCAACCGCTACACCTTCTAGAGTTCTTGAGGATGAATGGGATGCTCTAATAAATTTGATAGTGAATACTGGGCATTCCGTCTTGAGATTACCAAAAATTATTCGACCGCTAAATTTCCTCGATTCTCGATGCATGGTGGTTGTTTACATACATCACTTTAGCTGTGCACTTCACTGCGCTTATCAAACAGTGAGATACAGCCAAGATGGGCAACGGACAGTAATGCATTTAACGAAGCAGCTATAGTTAAGCGGTGAAACCAAAAGCTTCACCGATTGTCAGTTTTGTCAGAGGCTTCCGTGTCATGCGCGCGGTAGCGGGCGGAGCTAAACTGGTTATATATATTTTATCGAAACTAACACTTATGTTCCGTTCTTTTTGCTATGCTCATGAGGCTAGGGGCCTAAGGGGTATCGTTTTTCTAGGGTAATGGGGGCGGAGCTTTTTCCGCGGAAGATTTCTTTAAGTGTAACTTCTTTTTGGTCATGAGAGTCATTTATAGCCTCATTTTGTCTTTCGCATTATCGCTTACATTGACCTTGACTCTTCTATAAGAACGAAAAAGCTTTTTACCTTCATCAATTTATGATAAACCTGCTGCGACTTCGCGCTAAGGGTGCTGATCCTTTCATCCATAGCCTTCTTTGCTTTGATTATCTGAAGACAATTCGTTCAATGCGATTCTGATTCGTTCCTACTGAAAACAAAAATCACCTCGGCTAGCCATTCCTCAAAGCCTTCCTTTTGCTCGGCGTTAAAGTTCTTCTCGACATATTCTCGAAGTCGCTTATGCTGAAAACATCTACCTCAGTTCAATTGCATTAGTTGTGTCATGGTTGGTAATGGAGCGTTCATAGTCGGCGATCGTACGTGCGATAGGCGATTAGGCGAATAGGCGAATTCAAAAAGAAAAGTATACGTATCGATACCGCGATTAAGCGCCTAGGCGAGTAGGCGAGTGGGCGATGAGGGAAGGATAGGTATTGATTTGTTTGATCTAATCCCATGCACGATCGATCAGTAACTGTGAACGCTCCGTAAGATAGTCAGAATGGAGTCCTGATTTTCAGATTTTCAAAATGGATGAGGGATTTCTGCGATATTTATTTTTTAAATGGTGTAATCACTGGGTGGTCCGAAGAGTAAAGTGAAAGGAAACCATTTCAACTGGCTCGCACCTTGTCAGCATCAGGAATGGTGCTATTCATCCAGATAGCATCGAATCCTTCTTTTATTTCTGATGAGAGCATTTTGATGAAGCGTGGAGTTGTGTCAAAATGGTCGTCAACTGAACGCATTTTTACTAAATATCTTTGTATTTCGCGTGTTCTATTTGTATGTGAATATTGATCGAAGATCTGTACTCAAGTTTTCAGTGAAATACTATAAGTTGAACGTCTCACCGCACCTGCAACTGGTTCCACCCTGAACTCAAAAACGGCGGCACGTTCCGCCTCAGTGAGCGAGGCGACGATTTCGAAAGTCCTTTTTTGTTCATTCACACATGAAGTTCCATTCTGGTAATTGGCCCATGCCTTGAATTTTCACAATCCATATTGATTTCTGATCTAAAGTGAGGGCTGAATTTCTCACCTCCCTCAGCTGTTCCGCTTGCTTCGCTGGCAGTTTCGTGACGAATGGCGGCAGTCCACAAGGTATTCTCTGAAAACATGAACTCAACTATGTGGCGCACAAGGATGCGAACAAACGAGCCTGTCTGCTCCGTGTTTTAATGCCAGTAAGTTTGTAAAACGGGGATGAAATTAGTGCATGCTATGATCTTAGGGCCCCGATGTGGACCACTACTGAGCAGCAGAAGATTTTGGCCACTATTTACCCTTTACTGCCCCACTCCTTAAAAACTGAGCCGGATTTTTATCGAAATTCGTCCATGACTAAGGATTTGGCTAGAAAGTTGTCCCCAGAGGGTAATTTGACCCGTAGAACACGAATATCAAATCAGTTCAACGCGAAAGTGCGTGGCGACGACGCCAAAAGGCGTCAGAACATCTTGGACCACCAAATTCGCTGGAAACTCGTCGTTAGGGATAATCAGACCTGTGGAAAATGATTATCGCATCAGTTCGTTGTATCGCATCAGTTGTGAGTAAGCTTGTAGAATGCTACGGGCGTCGGCGCAAAATCAGTGTGATGGCGTCAGCGCCTATGGCGCGAAAGACAGGCGTTTTCGCGCTAAATTAAATGATTTCGGTGTTTCTATGAGCTGGAAATACCACGCGTATACATTCTTTTTTAGCCAAATCCCTAGAGTTCGTGGAAAATTTCGTAGAATCTGGCTATTTTTTGCCGACCGGGTCGAGTAATGAGTAAATAGTGCAGAATTTTGGCTCAAAGCAAGGCAGATATTACAGTTTCGGCGTCTGCTCCACTATATACCATAACTGTTAATGAAGCAGTGAAATGTGTTGTTTTGTTGGTCAAAATTCGGTCATTATCGTTTTCGATGGGAAACTTGCTCTGAGGAGCAAATGGATGGATTTCTACAAACATTTGTATTATTTGATTAAATCGGAACGTTTTCGCTGTCGAGATCGCCTACACAGTCTCTAAAACACTTCTATTAATATTAAGAAGTATTCCTTAGACTTCAAAAGATGACCAAGCATCGGCTTGACACCACATTTTCTTTTTATTATTTTTTTCTACGTTCTATCCTGCTATCTTTTCTCGTGAGAAATGAGACAACTTGCTCATATAGTGCCTATTTGTTTACCGTTCTTTAAGAGGTTAAGAATATTTATCCTCATCCAGCATAGCATGCTACGATGCTAAGGTCGATAGCTCAATATCGTGTCCGTATAACTCACTTGAAGATCAAAATAATATTATCAATGATGTAATAGGTCTTGTTAATTATAAGTTAGCAACATCGGACTGGAATAGTTGCGCTAACAATAATGCAGCATCTATCAGATTATAATGATGCCATAATCTCTTTACCCACTCGTGCGCAACTTTCGCTCTCTACCTCGCAAAGCAGAGCTAGTTGTTCTATATTTCTGGTTATTTCATGCTCTCGTCATTTTTCATTTAACTTATACTTGAAATGATGTAGGTCTTAAATACACTATGCAAGCTGCTCAGCTGGCAGTCGGACACCAAAGCTACCGCAAGCTTTTACTGTTTTCTATGTTTCTGGTGGTCCTTCTGTGAAGAGGTCGGTAGTTATGTTAGATATGTCATTAGATATATTAATTATAGCATACATTATACGAAGTTATACGATTCTGCAGACAATTCTTAAAAGAATCTGAATGCGCGGCGCTTTCCAATGGTCAGCGTCCCTTAATTATAGATTTTCCCTGCTATTTTACATTGTAACGCACCGATTTTAATAATGGCTCTAATTGCAAGGACATCAATATGGCGCAATGATCAAGCATTTGTAGCGTACAGTAGGAGTTCTAGTGTAGTTCGATAAACACAACAAAACGCGCATCATATCTTCGAGCAACACTTACTGAACGCAACCCAGGCGAAAGGTCCTATGCCCTGCTTCGAATTCACCTAACCAGGAAGGTCTTTCAGGGCGTGACAAGCTTTTTGAAAACGGTCTTTTGCATGATATAGGGGCAGATGCGGGAACCACAGAACCATGTTCAATTTTTCCTGAACGGCCCTCTGAATACCAGAAAAGGAGGTCCCTAGTTCGATTCCTCGTGGTAACAAATTTTTGCATTTCGAGTTGACGTGCCAAAATTCGCGCAAAATGGAGTTAGAACCAACCAGAACAATCAGAACTCCATTTTGCGCGAATTTTGGAACGTCAACTCGAAATGCAAAAATGCAAAAATTGTCACCAAGAGGAATCGAACTAGGGACCCCCTTTTCTGGTATTCAGAGGGCCGTTCAGGAAAAATTAAACATGGTTCTGTGGTCCCCATCTGCCCCTATATCATGCAAAAGACCGTTTTCAAAAAGCTTGTCACGCCCTGAAAGACCTTCCTGGTAGAGGATTGTAGGCAATTAACGGCCAAGCACGGCTGGCTGATAGATTTTTCACGGCTGAGCAAGCCGTTTATCTTTGCAAACATCAAGTAATGATGATTGCATGATAAGCGGGATAGTGCTCCAATCAACACACAATTCGATATGAGACATTAAATGGTTGCGTTGAGTTTATGTGGCAAACAAGCCCGAACACTTCTGCAATTCTGAGCGAAAGTCGAATGCATGGCGTAGTCCCGGGGAAAAACAAACAATACCTGGTAAAGTGTGATTCACCGACTACAACAAGTTAAACTCACGGTTCTTGATTGTGCTGCGACCAAGGCGACAAATGAGATCAAGCTCAGCCAAGCCAACATCTGAAAAAAATATTTCGTATTTTTCCACGGAAAACACCGCTCAAGTACTGTATAGACAAGCGATCCATTCCAGAGCTGCTGTTCGATATATGGCGTATAAGAAAGAAATAATCACGTGAAGATGCTCCACCGACTTGCTAAATAATGGACTACTCAAAAATGAAAACAAGAGGCTAAAATGAGACTGGTTCACATGCCACAGTGTTGCAGCGACGTAATTCGTGGGGATGAGTGTCAGATCCTCTTTTATAGGAGGCGAAACTAGAAACCGGATCGGTCATATAAAAACGCACTAGTATGTAGGTGCTTAGGCCTACTTTCCACGCGACCACAGAAGAAAAAACGAACGAGAATCCAAGCGGATTCGTGCACAGATCGTTCATGTAGGTCGCTTATGTGTGGTGCAGACATTGTCTTTCACTGCCTAGGCTAGCACAGCAGAGACAATTCAATTTAAAAGCGTATGTAGCAGTCGCAAACTTGCGCTGTGTGGATAGGTGTCAAAATAGAGCGTATATTATACTTCAACCGAATATTTTATTCCAAAGACGTTTACTACGACTATTTCCCTTTTTTTTGTCAGTCATCGTGGTGCATCTGGATCAACCAAAGAGAATCCCCCTGATATATTTTATAACGTAACACCGGATCTGATCTCTGATTAAAGGAATCTTCCACGGAAAGACTGCTTATCCTTTCCTTGTGTACAGGTGTTGGGCATGGTCATTGAAGACCATGTGCAAAGTTCAGAGCGAAAATGATGAAACCCCCAAGAGAAACAGCCCTGGAAAGACCCATCTGTGGGACCGGATTGGACCAGTAGGCGGGACCGGAAGTGCTTCTGTGACGAAGTGCATGGCAGGTGCGGATCCACGTGTCAGTTTATGGGAAGGGCCCAACATGAATCCTGTTCACGTTCACGCTTTTGACACGTTTGCACGTGTTGACTCCACGCCGCTAACAGTTGTGGAAGTTTTACAGCGGGAATTCAAAATTTTCATAGTCGAACTGGTTATCATAATTATTATCAAAACCATCGCCTATGTTCCGTTCTTTTTGCTATCTTCATGAAGCAAGGGGCCTAAGGTATCGTTTTTTTTTGTAGGAATGGAGGCGATGTTTTCCGTGGAAGATTCCTTTAAGTGCTAACTTAGAGTTGCTTGGGATTCCCTCATTGAATAAATCAAGCCGCTATTGCAGTAGGAAGGTGCATATGGATGCGGCCAAGGTACCGATACCCGCTGCTCTGATCCTGCAAGGTCATTCGAATCGAACAAATTCGTGAATCGTTCCATTTCATCAAGTACTGCGGGCACTGGGAGAAAAACCTCCAAAATGGAATAAGTAGAACGTATAGGAACTCACATTGCACCCCTAGTCAAAAGGCTCCAGAGAACCGTCTGACCGCAGCGGATCATCTCTACGCACTGCTTGAATTTCTGATCGGACCTCGCATAGGCAAAGGAATTCTTGTTTCTGCAAAGGCTGGTTGGGAATTTCACTGCGAGGAATGTAGTGAAATGCACATCTTTCGACCTTCCGATTCACTGTGCAGGCCGAATGTGTGCTATAGACTTGAGGAGTCAGGGCTGCGGGTATCTTCGCCGGATCTTTCTCTTGCCCTCCGATACAGCCTGAACGAAGGAGCACAAGGGATGAGCACGCGACGATCAGCGGATATCCAGCCGGTGCTAGGAAAACCCCTTGAGGCCTTTTGGATAAAACAACGAAATCCAAGTATGAATAACAGGAATGAGTGCATCTCAATAACTGCCGATTTCTTGCCCTACATCCCTCTATGTGAGCTATGATAGTGAATACGGAGCGCACTGCACGTTCCTCCTTTATAAGCAGTGTGCGGTCAGTTAGTTTCACTTTCTGTTCACTCTGCAAAGCGCTGAGGGAGGCCGTTGAGCGGAACATTGGTGGAATTAAGGTGAGAAACCGTTTTTGGGAGTTAGCATACTATGGTTCGCTGGTCTGAGTGTTGTAAGCTTAGCGCATATTTGTGTTGAGCGGATAGGTTAAGTTCGTAAAAGTTTCGGAACGCTTTCAGGCCTTTGAAAACGACGATTTCGTCGAAACGTCAGGCAATAAATCTTCCACCATACAAAACCTGTCAGGCACAGAAGAAATAACAGACCAACTCAACGAATAGGACAGCCAATATTAACACGTTGACGACACCGCGCGTTTCGGGTTTTGCGCAGCGTGGGACCACGGCGATTTTGCAGGCGCCGACGCCTCACATCAAATCCGCGAATCTCCGCAAAACTCGGTACTGCAAAAAATGTTGCGAAGTTGATATTTCGATGCTGTCAAACTTAGTCAGGAATGGAGCAAAGAAGCCGAGAGCGGGGGCGCGCGGGGTCCCGCGGTCGATCGAATTGACGTTTTCTGGCGATGAAAGGCAAGTTTCAGTTGCTTTTGCTGCAGTGAACCTCAAAATTATTTTTGACGCGGTTGCTCCACTAAAAACATATGTCTTGCTATATGTGTGGGTCTGTACTTACTTCTACTGCTCTTTTTTATGACCAAGATTATCAGAATATAAAGGAAACCACGGAGGAATGAACGGTTGATATGCTTTTTAGCGAAGGTTTTCTAAGCCCTACGAATTTCCCAATTGTGTTCATTCCTAGTTTCCTTTATATTCTGATAATCTTGGTCATAAAAAAGAGCAGTAGAAGTAAGTACAGACCCACACATATAGCAAGACATATGTTTTTAGTGGAGCAACCGCGTCAAAAATAATTTTGAGGTTCACTGCAGCAAAAGCAACTGAAACTTGCCTTTCATCGCCAGAAAACGTCAATTCGATCGATTTTTTACAGTTGTCCCTTCTGATAAGTTTGACACATCGAATATCATTCTAAACATTTTGTTGCATCCGAGTTTTGGGTATTTAAAGCTCAAAATTCACGGATTTGATGTGAGGCGGCGCTGCAAATCGCGCCTGGCTACGCTGGGTCCGCAAAACCCGAAACGCACGGGCCTCTGACCGGTTCCGTTCTGTAAACGTTCGTATAATATTGGCTGTCCTAAGATCTGTTGAGTTAGTCTGTTATTTCTTCTGTGCCTGACAGGTTTTGTATGGTGGAAGATTTATTGCCTGACGTTTCGACGAAATCGTCGTTTTCAAAGGCCTGAAAGCGTTCCGAAACTTTTACGAACTTAACCTATCCGCTCAACACAAATATGCGCTAAGCTTACAACACTCAGACCAGCGAACCATAGTATGCTAACTCCAAGAAAACGGTTTCTCACCTTAATTCCACCAATGTTCCGCTCAACGGCCTCCCTCAGCGCTTTGCAGAGTGAACAGAAAGTGAAACTAACTGACCGCACACTGCTTATAAAGGAGGAACGTGCAGTGCGCTCCGTATTCACTATCATAGCTCACATAGAGGGATGTAGGGCAAGAAATCGGCAGTTATTGAGATGCACTCATTCCTGTTATTCATACTTGGATTTCGCTAGTTGTCTCCCAGTTTCTCCAATGTACAAGGCATCACATGTTGAACACTGAATCTGGTAAACCACGATCTCTGTGCACAGTCTCCTACTTTTCCATACGGGCAGATAACGCAGTTATCCATGATGCAAGTCTTGTCATAGAGACGATTTCTGACCAATTGATGTTTGACGTTGTCTCTTGGTGTATTGACCAAGAAGACGTCATTGGCCAAATCTGCTCTTCTTAGACATTCCTGTATAACTGCGCTAAAATGGTCAGATATAAACGGAAGTTGAAGATATATCTTATTCTGAACTTCGTATGGAAAATGCCTCGGTCTGCTTCGTCTCTCCCACTGCCGTCGCTGTCGTGCTGTGTAACCATTAAGATTAGCTATTTGATGGGCTAATCTTCTGGATTCTTCTCGCTCCTCGTCACCGGTGCACACCTCTACAGCAGTTCTGTACATGTTACGTAATACAGCTCTAGGGTGTGCCGACAGTGCGTGAATGATGATATTTTTAGGAGCTTCTGTGATCTCCTGTACCCACTTCGAATGTAGAGCATTGGTGACCTTGACCTGTGTGTTCAGATAAGGCGTAACCAACCATCGCGTGGGACTTCTATGTTGAGTTAGTTTTTGCGATAAAACAACTTTATTTATGACGTGCCCGGCTCGATATTACTGTTGATGAGGGGGGGCGGGGGAGATTGCAGCAAAGATTCACGCTCTTCAAACAGGGGCACTTACAAGGAAGGTCTTTCAGGCAGGCCAAGCTTTTTCGAAACGAT